TTCCTGCTGTCCTTTTGCAGCAGTTCATCAAGTGCACGATGAGGAAGATATCCTAAGATGCAAAGTGAATACACTGCCTTCAGCAGATCTGTGTTGGAAAGCTGAGGGAGGTACTTATTCAAGCATCTATGAAGAGTCTCAAAAAACCTTTTCCAAAAGCAGAAGAAAAGCATCTAAATACACAAATAACACTATATAAAATACAGAATTCTAACAAAAATACAACTTAGAAATCTTTATTATCTTGTATAATCACATGTTGTGTAATCTAACATTAGCTTTTGATTCTTCTTTCAGGATACAGCTACCTATCAACAGATTCAGTAGCCTGGTCAGTCTAGAACCAAGGCCTCCATTTTCAATTACACAGAAAAAATCCTATGTAGAAAAAATGTGAAAAGACACAGCAAATTTACCGTACAGATTAATAAAACAGGATTGTGAACTCTTTCACAACTGAAATCAAATACTAGTTGCCATATATTACTCTATAATGACGACATAATGTATTATCAGGTATTCTAAACGAAAACCTACAGATGCTTTTGGCCTCTGGGAACATAGTTGAGTCGTGAATACACCCGGAGAACAATCAAAAGGTTTTTCAAGTTGAGGAATTCAGGGTCTTCTGTCAACTTCTCAGCAAAAATACCCATCAGCTCACTAGGCTGAAAGCCAAGTGTCTCGAAGGCAGAAAGAAAAAGGATAATCTAAAAGAAAAGATAGTTTTATAAGGTCAAGAATGCCAGTAAAGTGGGACCTACCTGTTGATTTCATAAAAGGCATTTTTAATGAAAACAAATTTTTCAAACCATAATACCCCTTTTATTTCTTATTTCTTTATTCATCAATAAATAGAAAAGCATTTTAAAAATTTAACTGTATCAACTTCATCAGATTGGTATTCCTAAAAAATCTCTTCTCCAAAGAACAAACACAAACAGGAAGAAAGGGAAGACGGAAAGCACTGGATATTCTACTAGTACCACTATAAATTATTTGGTCTCAAACGCACCTGTTTTTTGTCCCAAAGGCAGGCAGTAGAATTAACATAGTCTGCTAATGCTGAAAACAGTTTTACATCACGGTACTGGAGACTGTAACAAGCTTCCAGAATGAGAATTAACTGCCGAAATGGAGCATCGTGGACATTCTCTGTAACAGAAGTGCAAAAAAGGACAAATGATAGAAAGCAATGGGAGCTGTAGGTTGGAGACACTATGGAAACAGTTTGGCTAAGGGATGGAGGAGGGGGAAAAATAAAACCAGATAAGGAACAGTGGAACAGACCGAGGCTAGCTAGGCAAAGTCAACCGAGCTAAAACACATGAAGAAACTGAGAGGTAGAAGAAACCAAACTGAGTCAGGATCAAGCTAAAAGGGATAAATCAGCATAAAGGGACAAATTACAAAAGAAGCAAGACGACTTGTGTTCCCAGAACATCTTCTGTTCCAGGATTCTTGATTTTCAGCACCTCCCTGCACTCAGCATGGAAACCCTCAGGCTAGCCCCTTTAGTACTGATTGAGCCTTTGGGCTGTCCACTTCACCATGTCAGCTGAGGGAGTAACAAAGAGGTGGATCTAAAGCTGCTGATTATTTAGATATTAGCACATGCTGAAATTTATATTTTTTCCCCATTTGGTTTTAGAAAATTACAAGAAACCACAAATATGAATCTTTGTCTAAAAAGCACTAAAGGCTGCTCAAGCACTAAATGTTTAGTGTATGCCAAACTGGAAAACATGGAACCATAACGTAACCTCCTGGCATATGAGCGTGATGACACAGATTGAGTGCCAGATGACAACAGACTTCTGCACAGGACTGCTGCTTCATTTGCCACGTAAGATGGACCTACTCCTGAGATGAAAAAGGTTAATACTGAAGAACAATGCTCTCTCTCGAACACCCCACTTTGTTCGCTGCAATGAGGGGCATACATGTCATAAAAGACAGTGATGGCAAGAGAAAAGAGCATAGTTATAGTACTAGGATCAGCACCCATCAAAACTAGACTTTATCTTTTCCTCTGCCAGAGGACTCAAGAGGATAGCACGAAAATAACTGAATTTAACTCCTCTGAGTTGTGCTCAGTGATTTTCCAGGCTCAGCATAAAACACTGTTACCTCATTTCTTGAAGTGCTGAGTGCCGACAACTACGATGGAGGCCAATGAGAGCTGTGCATCAAATAAAGTGATTTGTAATGCTAGGTATTCTTAAAGAAAACTGGCTAACGGGATCTCACATTACTGGACACTTTGACCTTAATCTCTCTCTTCTGCATAACTAGAAAAGTAATATCACCACTGCATCACTCCCTTGCTGCTGCAAAAATTAACTCAATAAGTACCTATGAAGTACACAGTTATTACAATTCTGGTCAGGTCCCCAGATATGGGAGAGGGGGCTACATTCTTGAGAGCCCCAGCAACAGCACAGGACCTGGAAAACCTGCTGGAGAATTCCGTTGCCCCATGGGCCCCAAAGTGTGCCCCTCCCTCCTCTTCCTATTCCATCTCCAGCCTCTGATAGGGGTCATTTCTGTCCAGAAGTTATTCACTCTGTCCCCAGAGCATCATTTGCACCATGTACAGCATATAAGTCCTCAGAGCATGTGCTAAAAAAGTGCAGAAAAAAGTACTGAGTAGCTGCTCACGCTGTGTATGCCATCTAGCCTGTGTACTGAGTGTGGTGAAAATCCTATGGGAGAAACCAGTATGTATAATTAAAGACCGTGTCCTAACACATATGAACAACCAGGACAAAGAAAGGCTGTAAAAGCAGCCCAAACACTCCTGGTTCATTTATATTAAGAATGCTATTTTGCTATCTTGATGGTTTTTTAGACACAAATTCATATGTATTTTAAGTGTGAATCAATACATACTGACCATATATACTTAAGAAATGTATTGTAAAGCTATGGAGAAAGGTGAAAGTATTAGCTTTCATTTAATTTTTTTCTGGGCTGCAACACGAGGTCAGTTATTAAGTAGCATTCAATAATTAAATCCAGTTAATCAGGGAAACACTATGTTCCCTTTAGTTTATCAACTAATCACACTAAGCCACCAATCCATCCTGTAAGATGTCCGCTTCCAATTCAAATTTGTTTTAAAAGTTTACCTGAAATCTATTTTTTCTTGCTAGAATTCAATTCTTTTTCCTAAATTCTGCATACAGAAAAATGCATAGGAAAATACATAATTCAGGTAAATGTTAAGAAGGGCGGATACAACAAGAGCTATTTGCTTTCATTATCGATCAGTAATTTTCTGTCTTGCTGCTTGTCAAATGGCTCCACATTACTATAATATCCTGTAAAACAAAGATGTTTCCTGAGTTTTATAGGAAATCAGAAAAGGGAGACGAGACAATAATTAGGAAGAATTTGGTATAAGGAAGGGAAATTTAATAAAAATTTTTTTCTTACCCTGGATCTTCTTACTGCAGGCATTCAGGATTGGAATGGAACAATAATTCATTGCAACAAGAGCCAAAAACACACGCAGAGCATTCGGGAAAGTCAGATGGTCTATCTCTTTCAAAACTGCCATCTAAAGTGAATTAGAGTTTATTAAATCCTTCATTCTTCAGGTATATTATCACTGCTTTCTGGTGAAGGCATTTTCACCAAAACTTTCCCAAACTCCTTAGCCTGTTCAGACTTACATGAAAGAAAAAGGAGCAACAAACAGCAAAAGCATAAAGTAACTACTCTTAATTTCTTAATATACACTCATAGCAGATCAAGTGTTCTAGAGCCGTGTCACTATGCAAGTTCCCAGAAATTTGGCTTTATATGTTTTTTTTTAAAGAAAGAAGTCTCAGTAAAGCTCATTTCCAAATACTGTGAATATGTACCTTCTACCAACTCTTAAAAAAGTAGCAGAAATATCATTGGCACAGTTGACTTATTAAATAGTACTCCAATTACTGTTTTGGATGTGCGTGAAAGCTGTAAGCCTTCAAAGTGATCCAATAGGACACCAAGTGGCATATCCTTAATACAAACACCCAGCTACAAATGTGGACTGAGGCACAGACGGTCAGCTCTGATGCCACAAAAGAGATTTAATTTATCGAAGCAGTAATTAGATTGATATAAATGACAGTAAAAATGAGACTACAAAGTATATTGGCTATTAAAATACAGTATTCTTACTGCATGCATATCAAAGGTTAAATACAAAATGCGTCTACAATAGAAATTACACAGTATTAAAAAAAGCACCCTGTAGGCTCAGAAAATTAAGAGCTCCCTTCAGTTACCAAGTGGAAAAGTCACTTTCCTCTCAGTTCCATATTCCACCACATCTTCAGCCAGTTTCTCACCATCTTGTAAAAAGTGGTACCTTGTCCAATGTTTTACGATTTACTTACAATTAACACATTGCATGAGCCCCCTGCACTGCTCTATTCTTGCCCAGATTCCCATCAATGGCACCTTCCCTCACTTCCTCATGAATGCTATTACAAACTCTGACCTCAGAGCCCTTCAGCTATGTGATGAAAACACTAGCAGGCTCTGTTTGAAAGAAGGTTTCATAAAGCGTCTTTAAGTCAGTGGATGAAACCCAGTACGCCCTGCCATAAAACCTACAGCCTGCTCCCAACCACTGTATTTCCCAGGGGACCTTTCAGATACACAGAAAGATAAGGCCATGAGCCAGGCGAGTTCTCCTGGCATCTCTCTCCCATGGGTCCTCTAGCCCCGTACCATTATTGGACACAGCCCCATCACAGACTAGTTTTCTGTCTTCTTGTCTTCCAGCCACAAGCTGGGCAAGGGAATTGGGGAACAGTCTGTAAGTGCTTCTATGAAATACCACGTGGCCAACGCAAACAAGAGGTGAGGGTATCGCTATTTTATTGCCTCAGTTCCTTTTGTGCCATCTCCACTGCTTTCTGCCCCCTTTCAAGGGTGCCATATTCCCAGCCTCCAAACCTAAGTTCTTCTGGCAGCTATAGCTGGACTATGATTCATATAGCAAATGCAGTTAACCTTTCTATTGTATTTTCTCTTTGAGTGTCTGGAAAGAACCACACACAATTTATAAACAATGCAAGAGCACAGGCTTTGTTGAAGTAAAAATGAGCCTCCAACTAAGTTTACCTCTAATTTCTTTTTCAGAAAGACTGGAGCATCTTTTCCCATGCATTTCATCAGGTTTTGCAGTATAAAGATGTCTCTGATACTTGGAATCCGCTGCTCCACTAGTAATCTGATGAAGAAACACAGGTAAGGCCTTGAGTTAGAGAGAGTAACTGTTTAACAGAGCTTACCTCACGTCAGCAGAAGCAGGTAGGTACCCCCGTTGTCCCTCACTGATGTACTCCCATGTTAAAGTTTTAATTCCCTGCTCCTCTCCCACCTCCTTTTTTGCAAGGCTGGCATAACGCTACATGATGTAGCTGCAGCACAGATATTTTCCACGTGGAAATACTTATATGTGCTTTCTTAATGTTATCCTGATAGATGAGTGTTGTTGCTGATACATTAACAGCAGGGGCACCTGACCAGACTGCACATGAGGCTGTGCAGACATGAGTGCTGTTAAGCCTCAAGGAATTAACACTTGTCTGCAGAGAAAAAAAAATTGCCCATTTTTGTCATAGAATCATCCATGTGCAGGCAAGTTCTGAAACAGCTAGGAAACTTGGGGACGGACACTGACAACAACTTCGTGCAAGTGAGGGAAAAAACCAAACAAGCAGTGCTATGGGCTGCAGGAACAGAAGGGGACATCATAACACAGAGGGATCACAAGCACAAGATGAAGGAGGTCTGCATTCCCAGCGCCTCCTTTTCTGGCTCAGAAGGAGGTATTGTAATTATTATGTCTGAATCACCCTTAAATATGCCTGCACAGCTATAAAAATATGAATTGTCACTTTCTAAGGCAGTGCACTGCTCTGAAAGTCATCCCTGCAGATGCGGCTTCCTGCAAATGGGCAAGAGCTCCAGACATCCAGACAGAGAAAGAGCTGTAAATGGATCTCCTGCCTTCTAGCAACTGAAAAGAACTGTGTACCTGAGCTTCCAGGAGAACTTGTTTTTTGCCTATCACTAACACATCCACCTTCTCAAAGCAGGATTTGACACAGGACCAAAAGAACTAATCCATGGCAAGTTTTGTGACAGCCTCAGTAAAAACAATCTCATGGGAGTGAGCAGATTGGTTACCCACATAAATTTCATTGGCCCAGAAAAAAATCACTACAGCCAAAGAAGTTATTCTGATAAAGAACTACACAGAAGTCCTTGCTGGATGCACAGACAGAGTCTAAACTTGTCTTCATCTCAATTTTTAGTTACTAAATTAAAAGAAAATATTCCCTGGCTGTTAAACGGCATTTTTCATCATGACAAATGAAAATACTTCACAAAGTAAGCTAGTCTCATTACCTCCTCTCTACACACAGGTAAAACAGAGGCATAGATATGTGAAGTGACTTGATCAACATCACAAAAAACCCACAGTGGTGGAGCTGCCGTCAGAATATGAATCCCCTGCAGAGCAGTCTCGCACCCTATGCCATCAGAAGCCTTTCTGCTTGAAACTGCAAAGACAATGCCAAAAATTACTGTCTTGTACAGCTGTTATCTCATGTGATCACTTAAGTCCTAAAACCACAGTATGTCTTTTATGCACAGACATTCCCTCCACAATTTCTAAAAAACATATATTCAAACAACATATTTATATGAAGAACATGTGAAAGATGTATTTTTCTCACTGTAATCCAGCTTGAAGAGCGCTCACATTCTTGTCTTTATCCAGCCCTGCTAAAGTAGTTGCCAAAACTGAGATACATCGGTTATCAAGTTGATTGAGCTTCTCCTGTTAAAGAGTTTTCACAATGTCAGATTACTTCAGACCAGTAAAAGTTTCAGAAAAGAAAAACTGATCACTCTTAATCTGTACCTGCCGTCTTCTCTTTCCCCCCAGAAGTCAATTCATAAGCTTTAATTCTGCAGTGACCTACAAGGTCTCACATCAGTCAAATTTAGTTGATTTGAAAAGGGTAATGATTTTTGAGACTCCTGCTCTCTGTTAAATCTCTCTAAAATCAGGCAGTGGTTTCAAAAATGAAGGAAATTAGAAGTACACACAAATTAACTGTGGGAGCCCTGTTTCCATGGAACATCAGACTAAACCAGGGACATAACCCAACTTTCTCTGGTGTTGCACAGCCTCCCAGAATTAGCCCTGAGGTTTCGGCCCAAACTTAGGAAAAGCAGGATTCTGATACTTACTTGGCACACCCTCACCAAAGTCTGGACTAGGAGAGTGTTCTGAGGAACACCTAGGTTCACCACGGCATGCAGACTGAACACCAGGTCACCCCGCGTCATCCTTCTGGAGTCCCGCAGCAGCTCCTGACAAAGCTTGACAAAAGCTGGGTGCTCAAAGATCAACTGCTTCTCGTAACGCTGCTGGTCTTCCGACAGGTTTTTGTAGAGCCTCCATACTGTAGTTAAACAGTTTGTGAAGTGCTTAATGGAGACCGCAGACTCTGAAGCCAAGTCCAGCGCATCGCAAGGACAGGTACATTTCTGGAGACTATTAAAGAATGATTCACTGTGATCCATTACATGCTTCTCTTTGACGCTCCCAGAATCATCCCGCTTTTCAAGCTCCAAGGAGCTGTGGGGAGCCTGCTCACTCAACAAAGCCTCTGTACTCTTCTCTGGTTGTATTTTAGCACCTGTGCTAAAAACATCTGTCTTTTGAGATAGAAATCGAAGAGATAATCCATGCAGAGAAGGACAAATATTTATAAATAATTTTCTGAAGTTCACATTTTCCAGGGGATCCCTGTATCTGCCAATCCATAAAATGTGTTTTCTTGTTGTGGCTGAAGATTTGGGAGTGAGCACAGAATTGCACCTATGCATGCATCTAACAGTATTTAACAAATAACTTATCTTATTATTCATTTTTGCTAATGTCTCATTAATAGATTTGAAATGCCAACTCAAAGTAAGGGGTCCGATGAAATGCTACCAGTGGAAACATGGAGAAACTGCATAAGATCACTTATCTGTAAAAACAATTGAAAATTACGGATTAGTTAGCAGACTTTCAGTTCCTCAAGTTTCAGTTGCCAAATCTATGCACATTTTTTACAGCAGAAAAAAAAGTTTTGGAAAAAGATCCCTGGAAAACGATTTGCAGAGGGATTTTTATTGGGTGTCCTACGTTTTAGTCAAACATCTCAACACAAAGCTAAACTCATCCTGGGTGTCAACTCTTTTTCCTCTCTGCCGTTTTAACCAAAAACTATGCCGGGAGGGAGAGTCTCTTCCTAACTGACGTTTCTCCTGCGAGGGCTCCGGTGGATCACTGCCCACCTCCAGCTCCGGTTAACAGAATCCCGCCCGGCTGCGGCCACCAACAGCCCGTCCCAGCCCACGGCCTGTCCCAGCCTCCCTGCCGCCATCCCAGGGGCGAGCCGCCTGCCCGGCGGCCGCGGCACACCCGCGGGCCCGCTCCCAGGGCCGGGGGCACCCGGCGGGGCACAGCCTCTCGGTTTGGGGCTCGCTTTCTGCCGGCGCTGGGAACGCTGCCCGGGGGGTACGGGACCAGTGGCGCAGGCCCGCGGCCCGGCGCCAAGGGAACAGAGGTCTTTCGGGGGCTCCGCACCGACTCGGAACACCCGGGCGCGACGGCGGGGGATCCCGCCGAGCAGGGCAGAGCAGGGCAGGGCC